TTTTACTAAAAATTTTGTTATTCGAGTATTTTAACTCACTGGAAAAACAATTAAAAATTTTTTTTTTTTTTATTATTTGTAAGTGACTATTTATTATTATTATTTGGCTCAATTTAATTTAATTTAATTTAATTTAATTATATAAAATAATAATAATAATTTTTTTTAGTATGCTTAGTTATAATTGTAATAATAATAACAAACAGAATTTTTTTTTAAATAAAAATAATAAAAAGTGATATTTATAAATTCTGTAATATTTTTTTTTTTAAATTATTTTTATTTATTTATTTATTTTATATAAATATTAAATAAATAAATAAGTATATATAACGACGACAGGTAGTTTTTATATATATTTTTTTTTTATAAACGAATAATTTCTATAAATTTTATTAAATTTATTATTGATTTATCGAATGATATTATTAACAAATTGATATTAACTTATCGAATGATGATGATGATAATAATATTTAAACTCATTTATTCATCAATAACATGAAATATTGCTTAAGCCCATGTACTAATTAATAAATAAACTAATAATAATAATGATAATAAAATGGCATGCTTTTTGTATATATATATATTTTGAAAAAATTTTTGTATGTGACTCGATAAAATTTTTTTTTTTTATTGTGATCTGTGTACTTATTTAATTATTTGTGCTTTTTATAAAAAAAAAAAACTATTTATAAACTTTTTTTTAATTTTTATTTTGTTCCTTTTTTTTTTTTTTTTAAATTAATAATAAGAATGTAGAGTAAAATGATAAAGTGCTTGTGAAAGATGATTAGTTATTTACATAATTAATTAATTAATTAATAATTTTAATTTAATTTAATTTAATGATTGATTGATATTTGTTTTTTTTTTATTTTATTTTAAATTATTTAATTTAAATAAAATCATTTTTTTTTTTTTTACTTTTAATTTGAATTATTTTGAATTTAAAAAAAAAAATCCTTGTTACTGCATCGTTATTAAATAATAATTAAATTGTTTAAAAAATAAGAAATTTGAAATTACTTACCGATCGAATCCTTGGTTAATTCCACTTATAATTCTTTAAATAACAAATAATTGTTAACGTTTAAAATAACGACATTTTCTTTTTTTTTTTTGTTAATTTACTTTTATCACTCGTTTCACTACATTCTGACAGTAAAGCTTAAATAATTTTTTTTTTTTTTTTGCTACGGCTAAATGATCCGAATTAAGATTAAACTGAATTTTGCTGATGTATAGTCTTCGAGGGTTTTTTCAAAATGGAGGGAAAAATTCTGACATCATAGTGCGTTCTGTTATAATTCTGATCAGGAAGAAAACTTTTTATCATTATAAGTATTAATGGTTTTTAATTTATAAAAATTATATATTTGATCGTTTATAAATGTGTAAAGAAATAACAAAATCAAAAAAAAAAAAAAAAAGCTCCGTCGATTTTAAATTTTCTTTAAGTAAGTTAAAATATTTTTTTTTATAACGGTTATTTAGTTCGTAACGGTTCCGTTACATTTTTCTCGAACGTTCTCGAAATTTAAAATTTACTCATTAACTCAATGTAAAAACTTTTAATTATTTTGGAATAATGTAATAGAATCGCATATTACGAAAAAACTAAAGAAAATTACAAAAAAAATTAAATAATTAATTTTTATTTGATTTTAAACCGTGAAATATTAAAAAAAAAAACAAAAACCGGTAAAATTTTATCATTTTTTTTTTCTTTTAACGACATTTTGTAAAACATAATAATGATGATTAAAATTTTTTATAACAAAATTAATAAAAAAAAAAAAAAACATTAAAACCACATTTAATTCATCATCAAACTTTTGAAAATAAAAAAAAAAAAAAGAAAAGAAAAAAAAAAAACTTAAATATGTACATAATTATTAATAAAAATAATAATAATAATAAAATTTCATTACAGTATTAAAATATAAATAAATAAATAAATAAAAACGCAAACATCGATCCGATAACTCATTTAACCGTTAAAAAAAAAAACAAAATAATAATAATAATAATATGCATCAGTCGCCAATTTTAATCCAGTAAAATTTATTTATTTATTTATTTACTTACTTATTTATTGAGGGGGGGGGTGGAAGGGTGTATCGTTAAAATGGGTTTTTTTTTCCCTGCTTGTAAAAAAAAATGTAAAACCTTTTTTATTGTTGTTCTTATTGTCCCATATTAACTTTGTTCGACTTCCTGTTCGTCTAAAAATTGTTTCAATATATTGTATTCCATTGTTATTATGAATTGTTCTTCTCCGTTTGCATTTTTCTTTTGTTTCAATATCATGTGATCGACAAATTCTTTTAATTGTGCTCTCAAAGCCACATCGGAACTAATTAACAATTCTTTTCTACATTCCTCGTACAGTTCTCTAAACGTTATACCATTTCCTTTCCCACCATTTTCTATTTGATTTCTAACCATTATTAAAAATATACTTTTACTGTTTTTTTGTCAGTGCACTAAATACATTTCTGAGAGAGGCCAATGTGGCTTTTCCACTGTTGGGAAGCATGAGGTTTCCTTCGTACAATGTTTCATCTGTGTAATTCAAATAAGTGGTGCAGTCGAACCATATCCAATTGAATTCACTACAAGTTCTTTTTGTCCCACATCAGAGGTGCATTAATGTGATCTATAGAGGCAATTATGTGAATTTGTTCTATTTTACCTAATCTAGACAAAACATTTTGAACTTTTTTATTTCTTAACATGATTCCATCAATGTTATTTATAGCTAAATATATTTCTAAGTCATATGATTTTATTTTGCATTCAATTTTACTTATAACATCTCTCGCATCATATTTAACATTTAAAATTTCACATATTTTTTCAATTATTTCTTTACTGGTTATATCTGGGAAAAAACCATTGACTACAATCACTGGAAAACTATCAATGTATCTTTCTAAATATTTAGATATAACTTCTCTTTTCGATCCGGCTCCATATAATAATAAATTAAAATTTTGATTTAAAATAAAATCCCATTTGGGAAATAAATTAAATATATCACTTAATAATGATTGTAAACATTTTTTATGATCTAAACTAATTTCAGTATTATTTTTAACTAAACTATCAAATTTTTCCTGAGTTAATTTTGAAGTTTTTAATTTTTTATCTATTTTAACACTATTTTTTGAATTTTTAGTACTATGCAAATCACAATAACTTTCGAAAAATGTTTTAGACGATTTCGATGGAGAATCATCTAAATCATCATCATCATTCTCATTTTCACTGGTTTTATTACCGCTCGAACTATCATCTGACATTTTAAAACTAGAATCACTATCCGAACTTGAAAAATCATCATCACTATTTTCTAATATTTTTTGTATAGCTTTTATGTCTTTGATAACTCTTTTTCTTAAAGTGATTGGAGTTTGGCAAAATTCTCCCAAATTGTTAATTTGTTTTTTGTCATTTTGTTTATTAGCACTCGACTTTTCTTCTGGTTTGACCAGATTGTTGGCCTTATTTGAAAGTTTATCGTTTTTACTCGAATGATTACTATTTTCAAAATTACATATTTTCTTAGCTGAAATATCACATTCATCGAATAGAGTACTCGGATGAGTTACTTCTACTTTTTCAACATTATCATTTTCAAGAGCTGCTAATGCTAATTCAACATCATCAATATATTTGCTTCTCTTTGAATTATTTTCAGAATCGACATCATTTTTAATTCCCTGTTTTCTTTTTAACAATTTGTTTTCCAACTCTACTGAACTCGAATCATTTAACCTAGACTGATCTGATTCTGTTTTTAATTTTTGTCTCATAAGTCTTTCATATTCTTTTTTAGATACAATAGTACTTCCTACCAGTTCATCGGAAACAAATATAACATCGATTGTTTTCATGGAATCTCTTTTTTTCACATTATATTTTACATTGTTATCCATTTTAGTTATTGTACTAATTTACCAGTCTTTACAAAAAAATTATTATATTTATGAGTGTTTTCTAAAACAAAAAAGAAAAAAAAACTCATCAGAATAATAATAATAATAATAATTTTACACATTAATAAATGTAATCAAGTGTGTAATTATTGAAAAATATTTAATATTTCATCTTTAGAGTTTAAAATAACCACAATCTTTTATCACATTATAATGACTATGAGTTATAACTTTGTAGAAAAATAAAAATTGTAAAATAGATAAAATAAATAATTATTTAATAAAAAAATTAAATAAAATAATTTAATTTTAATATATAAAAAAAAAAAAAAAAACAATTCAAACTACCTTAGGTAATGCTTTTGTACGGTGTAAGCATTATATTAATATTATAGATTTTGTAATAAATTTAACAACATACTATTAAAATATATAATTTTAATATAATATTTAATTGTAAAATTTTCCATTATTTAATTTATTGGAACATATGTTATTGTTCTAACACCTGGTCTCATAAAAAAAAAATTTACCGCGAAAAAATTGAGTCTTAATTGATTCGAATGGTGAAATAACAAAGTTTATTTTAAATCTTACATATACACACACACACACACACACATACACACACCGTATTTACACTGCCTCCTTTATCCTTATTATATATTTTTAATATCATTTTAAACAAAAAATTGATTTTGTTTTTTATTTATTATTATTATTATTATTATTATTATAATTTATTATTATTTAATTGTTATTTAAAAAATATAACGTTTAATTAAAAAATTTATAAATAATTTTTCTTTATTTTATCTGCCTCCTTGATAAACTAGGCCTATGTTTCCCTTTCTTACAATTTAACCACTTATTAACATTTCACTAAATCATATTTTAAATAAAATAAATAAATAAATAAATAATTCGATTATTAGTAAATAAAGTTTTCTTCGTTTATTTTTTTTTATTTTTTTTTTTAAATAAAAATTTGTAAAAACAAAAAATATTAATAAAAATATAAATTTAAATAATAAAATTTAAATAAATTGTACAGTAAGTTACATTTTTTTTACTGAAAAAAAAAAAAACAAGCTTTTTTTTTTCTTTCTTTTTCTCCTTTTTCTTCTCTCTCTCTCTCTCTCTTAAAAAAATAAATTTATTCATTTCTCAATAAACTATTTTCATGTATAAAAACATGAAATAATATTTTTTTTTTTTCTTTTTTCTTCCCTTTTCTTCCCGGTTGATTTTACAATATTTCTAAGTCGCAATGCCTTATCTCTGGGTGCTTTTTCTGAAAAAAAATTAAAACGATTATTTTTAAAATAATATTTCATAAACGAATCACGAATAATTTTAATAATCCTCCATTATTATTACTCTCAATTTCAATTCGATTCTATCGATTTCTCCACCCATCATGTCGACGATATTTTCTCCGTGTTTAAGCATAAATTCTTCAAGATCGTCGATCGTTTGCATTTTTTTGACTTCCTGAAAGAATCAATAAATTTTTTATTTGGCGTAAACCGTAAACGAAATGAAATCCCTCATCTCGCGCCCTACCACACCCATCACCTACTTCGAGCATTAAATTTAAATCTTGTTTATCCAAATAAGATCTCGTCAGTTCTCCACCGTCGAAATCCATTTCCGCTTTGTATCGAACGAGTGAATTCCCTATGTCTATACCTTTGACGTCATGAATAGCCCTTATCATCACGTCGGACTCCAATTCTGCATTTATTTTGTCGAGCCTTTCTTGCGGAATAGACCTATAGGAATCGTTATTAGTTAAGGTTAAGTTTAGACAGACAGATGCAAGACGTTCTCGGTGAAATATTTATTACCTCCCGACCAATGCTGCGACATTAGTGTAAATGATGAATGATGCCACACCGGCAAGCAATCCTCCGACGAAAAAACTCCCTATAGCGTCAGGTACGTGACTTTCAAAATAAGAACTTAATCCCATGCAACCTGCGGCAAAGCTCACGCCGATAACAGCTGCCATATCTTCTAAGAGAACTACGTTAACGCTTGGATTTTGTCCTCTCCACACTAAAAAGAAAAAAAAATAATTTCAACATTTTTTTTCTGTCATATTTTGAATAATTTTTCACGAAATACTTGCCATATTCGGATAAGGACACTTCAGATTTTCTAGCACCGATTCTTATGGAATTAAAAGCTACTAATAGAGTGGCACCTTCCGATGCAAGAGATCCTCCTAGAATAAAATAAGCCCAATAAAATGATGGCAAGTCCGATGGATCCGTTAATCCGACAAATCCGTGATAAAATGAAAGCCCAGATCCTACGCAAAAAATCCCCACACCGGAAATAAGAGAAGAAACGTAACGCATATTCGTGTAGCCATAGGGATGATCGGAATCTGCTCTCTAGGAGAAAAGAGAAAAAGAATTGAAACTTGTTTGATTTAAAAATGGTTCCGAAAAACCGTTAAAAATTTACTTGAACAGATTTATGTATGCCATATGCTAATATAAGCTGATTAATCGTATCGGCCAATGAGTGCACAGCTTCTGAAAACATGCTGTGGGAACCTGTGTAACACCATGCAAGAAGTTTGAACAAAAAATTTGTTCCGTTTCTAAAAATTAAAATAAATAATTAAAATTTGATAATGATGATTCGTACATTTTGCTTTCTTTTTTTTGCTTTTTTTATTATCAACAGATATATACTTATTTACATTGCAATAGCCGTTAAAACAACTTTTCCGGAAGAACCGAATAAACCGCTTTGTTCCGTTTTAACTTCCGTTTCCCGTCCCTGTTCCCTCCGATAATCTCGTAATCTTCTCTTAACCGTAAACAAATCTGTAATTGCGTATGTTTAATAATTAAACGCGGTTTTTAAAAATACATTTTTTTCTTTTTCTTTCAATTATAAACATACTTTGTTGATAACGACGTCTTTCTATGTCTCTCTTTAAAATTTCTTTCAACAAATTTTCCTTTGATCCCCACACATCCAATGCCCTAAATATTAAAATTAAGTTTTTATTAAATATACTTTTAATTTATAAAACAAAAATGTCTTTTAAACTTAACAGATGTCTTAAAAATGTCTTATAAATTATAATTTTTATGGTAATTATTACTAACTTTGCTTCGACATCTTTTCTCCAATATACAGTTATGGGTGGATCATTTTCATAAGGTGATCTTCTTTTAGTTTTTCTCAAACCTTCTAAATCTGATGGTTTTAAAAGAAAATCTGCCATTGCTCTTACTGGAGTTATAAAATTTCGTTCTGTTGAACTTTTATTCAAATCAACTGTTTGCCTTCTTCTGCTGGTCACATTTAAATTTACTAAAAAAGAAAAAATAAATAAATATATATATAATGATGATGAAACATGAATATGTAATTCTCAATTAAAATTGCACCTGTACTTACTATCAGGTTTAGGAGTACCCAAATTTATAAGTTTGACATTTCTATTTCCCTCAGTAGGTTTCATTTGTGAAGTTTTTCGAAGAATTTCTTTCGCTTTTTCCAATAGGAGTTGTGGAGTATCTTTCAAGGGTTTAATGTCATCCATTAATGGATTTCTATCTTTTTCCTTTAATGGACCATCAGGATTCAAATTGATATTTTCCGATACTGCTCCTAAATTTAATTCATATGTTTGACGCCTATTTTCCCTTTCAACTCTATTCGATAAATCAAGAGTTTTGTCGTTTTGTTTTTTAGCATCATATGGTTTTTTTTGAATTCTCAAATCATCATTTGAAGCAGTTTTATTTTGTTTGTTTGTAGGAAAGTTCTTCACATTAACTGTATTCAAGTAGTTATCAGGTTTTTTGTTTTTTGACAATTTTACTGTTTCTAAAATATGCCTTTCAATGTTTCCATATGATGGATCTTTATTCGATTGAATTTCATTGATTTGTTCATTGTTCAAACATTTAGTTTCTAATATTTTATTATTTTCACACAAAGAATCTTGTGGAATATCCAGTTTATTATTTGATAAATTAACATTATTTTCAACACAATTGCTCTGTTCAGAGCATTTATTAGTTATATCTGTTAAATTTTTATTTAAGTAACTAAATTCATTATCATTAGCTTTAAAAGAATCTACTGAATTTTCTTCTAAAACCACTAAGTTACTTTTCAAAACAGTACTTTTTTTCTGGGATTTTATATTGTCATCAGGTTCCTTTTTTGTATTAATTTTCGACTCGGATAAATTTTCATTATTTTTTTCTTCTTTAAAATTCCAAAAAGAAAAGGTAATATATTTTTTTTGGTTTACTATAAAATTACACTTGTAATTTTCTTGCAGCTTGATTAACTGTTTGTGATTTCCCAAATGAACAAATACCCCCTTTTTATAATAGGAGCATCCTGCAAATGGAATCAATTGTTTAAATGACTTTAATTAACTTTGACTGTAGACATTTTTTATTGCTGATAAGGGAGTAAAACTAAAATTTCAAGATACTGATAATAAAATTTAATGATTATTTTTTAAAGTAGAATTTCTGCAATGTTAATTCATTACAAATTAAGCTCTTGTAATACTACTTATTGTTTAATTACATTGCATTTTTCAATAAGGGTAAAATAACATTGAAAAAAAAGTATTATTACTCTGTTTTAAATAAATTAAAATATTGTTAACCATACAGTTACTTACCAAATGGAGTTCTTAGAACTGAATCAAAGCGGTATGAGGCTGGTTTTTTAATATAAGGACCAAGAATTTGGAAATGACACCTCAGCATTTTACTTGATATCAAACTTCAGTTTATGAATACAATGAACAAAAAAAAAATTCCATACTATCCAACTTGCTTTGGTGCATTGAAATTAAATTTCGCAAATTTATATATTACAGGCAACTCATAGTAAAGATTTAATATTTTGTAAAGTAAACCAAAAAAAAATAAATATTAACATTTCAATTTAAAGAAACGGTTATTTTTTTTTTTTTTTTGTAACTTAGAGTAGAAAACAAATTGACATTTCAGCCATGTCTTCCACCTAAGTGCTTTAAGTGATAATTATGACGTCATATTTGTGACATGAATGCACTTTTTGCTTTACAAACAGGAGGCTTTGATTGATACAAGGTAAGTTTTTTGTACTTTGAAATTGTAATTGTTTTGATTTTTTTTTTATTTTTAAAGTTAAATATTTTATTTCATTGTGTTATTTTGTAAAAAGTATTTTCAGTTTTCAAAAATCATTTATAATTAAACTCGAAAAAATGCATGATATAATCAATAAATTCATAATTTATGATTGATTGAAAATTATCCATCACATCTAACAAGTATTTTGACATACCCAAAGTTATATTTAAAAAATTAATTTTTTTTTAGAAATGGGGAGTGCAGTGAGATGAAAAATCATGAAAAAATAAAATGACACTTTCCAACCGATGTCAGAGCAGGCTCTGCGATTATTTCGTTGTTTGTGGATTAGACATCACATCTGGTTTGGAACCAGATTATTTGTCTGGTAAATATAACTCTTAGAATAAAATTTTTTGATTTATTTTAAAGCATCTTCAATAATTTATTTATATTTGAATCATTGATGGTCTTTTTGCTCCTGCTTACATTATTAATGAATATATATTAATTTCATTTAATCTGTATCAGTTCACATTTAAAGTATATTGCTTTTATCATATGACCTTCATGTGATTTATTTATTATGAATAAAAAAGTATAAATAAGCAAATAAGTTTAAAACTAAATAATTAGTTTTTTAGCAAAATAAAATAAAATGTTAAGCAATTTTTGCAAACTTTTCAAAAAGGATGTAAAAAAACTTTTTTTAAAATCTTTTTCTGAGTATCTTTTTTTTTAAAAAATGGCTTCTTATTTTTTTTTTTTTTTTCGATAATTAGTCGTAAGTTTAAAGTTTAAGAATCGATAATTAAATTTAAAAAATAAAAAAATTTTAGGTGATGTCTTGTGCCCTCCTATTAGGAGGTCTTTTAAAGGTAAAGTTCTGCAACATTTTCCAAATAACAATTCTGGAAATCCTTTTGACAATGATTCAATATGCATGGTAAGTTTTTTTAATATTTAATTTTTTTTTTTCTGTAAACTTATTTATCAGTTATAAAAAATAGTAAATTGTTTTGTTTTTGTTAAATTTTCAGCTTAGTTTGCCCAAAGGTTTACAATTTGCTACTCAAAAACAAATTATCGAACCAAATTTTCACAGTTTTGTGGTTACAAGAGAAGATGGTAGTCGTTACTATGGTTTCTCATTTATTTTTTATGAAGAAGTTAAAAATAAGCAAGTTTGCAATGCCATGCATACTCTTCAGGTAATTTTCAAAATAAAAAAATAGGATAAAATTTATTTAAGAAATTGTTATAATAATAAATGAAAAATGTCACAAAAATATTTTCAGGCCATGTACCTAACGGAGTTATCCAGTGCAAATTTTACTAAAAATAAGCAATTTAACAATTCAAAATCATTACCAAAGCATTTCAAAATATCAAATAATCAATCATCACATTATTACGATTGCAATAAAGACATTCTTTATGTAACTAAAAGTATTGTTGTAGTCATGCAATTGCCTTTTGTTACAGCAAGTCAAAAATTTTTGTATGCTCTGCACAAGTAAGCAATTAGAAATATATATACATTTTAAAATAATCGAAATAATACAAATTATGGCAAAATAATAATAATGTTAACTTTTTTTAGGTATGCATTTTCAAAACATGAAGTTCCTGATGAGCTCTCTTTAGAAAGCTATGTATATTATTTTTTGTATGAAATTCCTATGCCTCAACCAGGTGATTTTAATTTGTTTTATTATTTTTTTTTAAACTAATAAAAATAAAAATAAAAAAATTGAACAAGTTTTAATTTTTTTTAACTTTTAGGTCGAAGTGTTCAATTTCAAATAGTCAACTTAAAAGAAAATTTAATTCTTCAAAGACCGATTTCAATAGAGGAACTTCCAATATTAGATTTTTCAATACATTCGCTATTTACTTTGCTCAGTGTTGATGTCATTTTGCAATTATTCACTTGTATATTACTTGAACACCAAGTTTTATTATGTTCCTCGGGTAAGCTTAAATGTAGTAAATGTTTTCTTACTTAAAAATCTTCACTTATAATCTTATTCACTCGATTTTCAGATTTTCAAACACTCATGTTGGTTGCTGAATGTTTAACTAGTTTGCTTTTTCCATTTTCTTGGCAACATGTTTATGTTCCCATACTACCCAATAGTCTTCATCATTTTCTCGATGCTCCCGTTCCTTTTATAATGGGAATACACTCTTACGATGCTCAAATCAAACCTACCGTTTCAGTAAGTCACCCCTTTTAACGTTATTTTTAAAAAATTTTTTTCCAGTATAAAAAAGTCATTTATTTTTATTTATAGGGAGACTGGTGTTATATAAATATTGATAATAACGACATTGAAATACCAGAAGAATTGCCAACGTTTCCAAAATTCAACGAATTCCGTAGCGAAATATATAATTTACTTAAAAAATTTAATATTTCGGCAAACGTGACGAATCCTTCTAAATTTTTCAATACCATGACAAATAGCGTGATAGTCTTAGATTCTGAGGGTATATTATCACTTATTTATATTTCTTTTTTTTTTTTTTTTGTTTGGCTTTCGAAATGAGAAGAATTTTTCTATTTTTTCCAGGTAAAAGTTCTGATCAAAATCGTATAAATCATTATTTAAAAAAAAATTCCGAGGAAATCGAAGGTAATAAATAAATTTTAAAAAAAAATGTTTTAACTTTTAAATTGAATGACTATTTATTTATAATTATATAAAAATTGTAGAATTGGAAAAAAATAATTTCAAAGACGTTCATAATAATTGGACATACGAAGACGAGCTTAAATTTAATAATAGCGTTCGCGAAACTTTTCTAAATAGATTTGTTAACATATTTCATTCGTACGAGCATTTCGTCATATTACCAAACGAGGTAAATTTTTTTATAAAATTTAACAATCGTATTGAATATTATATTAAAATTGATAAAATAATAATATTTAAAATTTTTTTTTTTTTTTTGTTATCAACAGAAAGAAAAAACGGAATGGCTTAGAGAACGGGAAACGATGCAAAATTTTGATAAAGCGACATTTTTATCCGACCAAGCAACTCATCATCTTCCATTTCTTTCGCAATTTTTAGAAACTCAAATGTTTGCAAGTTTTATAGATTCTAAAATTTTAGCCACGTTTAACGAAATCGATCCGAATTTGAGAGTTTTCGACAAACGTATTAAAAATTCAAGGTATCCTTTGTTAATTGGAAAATTTCTCACGATCGCATTGACTGAAAATCCATTTTTTTTTGTTTTAGAAAACGTAATTGTAGGGATGTAACTGGCAAAAAAGAAAAACACGAAAGTTGCGAATCTGCAATACGGGAGTCGTTGCTTCTCCTCGAAAAAAGGTTTTCGACCGTCGACGTTTTCGTTCCGGCTCCCACAGAAGTTTTACGCTGTAGCGAACCTATAAAATATTCTAATAAAACACCTGGCGTTTTTCCTTTCTTAGATGCATCGGCTTTGAATAAAGAACCTGTTAAGAGGTGAGATGTATAAAAAAAATTTTTTTAAAAATAATTCGCGTGGAAAATTTATATGGCATATTATTGGAAATTAAATTTATAAATGCAGGAATCCACCGTATATTCAATGGCCGCAACAAAGAAAACAAAATGATCTTTTAAACGATGAAAATTCCGGTACGACGTTGTCAAGCATTAGTTATCATAATAAATTAAATAAAAATACATCGGCTTTAGATCAAAGTCCGGCAAGGTTGGCTCAAGCAAATTGGAACTTTGTCGAAAAACTTTTGAAGGTAAAAAATCATAAATGTACTCTTGCGTAATGATTTTATAATAGTTTAGAAATAATTATATAATATTCAAGGATTGCAAACTCAAAACGAATCGTATGGTACTGGAAAAAATGGGAGCCGAGGGTTTGATACTGGGTAAAGAACAAATTGGTAACATCGAAGAGAACACATTGATAGCATCGTTGTGCGATTTACTCGAAAGAGTTTGGTCACATGCCGTCCAACAAAAACAAGGGAAATCAGCACTTTGGAATCATTTGTTGAAATATCAAGAATACGAAGAAAACAGTTTGAAAACCCCCGATATAAATTACGTAAAAAAGGGTATATATGCAAAGCATTTAAATTTTTTTCTTTTTTTTATCGTTGAATTAATTTGTGTTTTTCTCCCCTCCCCCCCCCCACCATCATAGACTCTTCGTCGTCTTTGGGAAGGCACGTGGATAAAAATTTATCACTGGGTAATAACTCTTCGGTCACTCCAGATTTTCGATCACTCGATAGAAAATATTTAGATTCGACAAATGAAAATGCTTTGTTGACTCCCCTCCCGCTTTCTGTTACTTTCGATATAAAAAATGTTCAGGTAAGAATTTTTTTTTTTTAAATTTGCTACGAAATTTCAGAATCCTTATGTCCTTATGTCGAATAATTTTCTTTTCCAGGCTATGACCGAGATAAAATCTCAAATCGGTTACGCAAGAGCTTGGATTCGTCTCGCGTTGGAAAAAAAATTATTGTCCTGGTATTTGCACAAATTGTTATCGGCCAAAGATTTATTGAAATCCCAGTACAAGAGAAATGCTTTTCTTCGATGCGAAGAAGAAAGAGAACAATTTCTATACCATCTTCTCAGTTTAAACGCCGTCGATTATTATTGTTTTACAAACACGTACCTGACGACGAGTGAGTAATTAATTTTAATAATCCGGGAAAATGTCGGTTCTTCAACGAGTTTTTTTTTTTTTTTTTCCGTTTTTTAGAATTGCCATACAGAGTCATTATTATCCCTTCGAAAAAGTTGTACGTTTCTACTGTTATTTCAAATGCTTGGGTAGCTATTTCCGGTACCATCGGAGAAACTTCGCAAGTTTCCATTCCGAAAGGATCCATGGATTTTATCGTCACGGTACGACTCGAAAATAAAAAATGAATAAAATAATTTAAATTTGAATTTAAATTGAAATTTTTTTTTCAGCACAAAAATTTAGGAATGTTGACGAGTTTAAGAATAGGACAAGACACGAATGGGACTTCGGGGAATTGGATGCTTGAAAAAATATTGATTCGATGCGAAGTCACCGGTCATACTTTTAGGTTTGTTATTAAATAAAATAAAATAATAATAATAATAATAATAATAATAATTAATAATTGGAATCGGTTTTAGGTTTCCGTGTAGAAGATATTTGGGAAAAGGAGTCGATGATGGGAGCTCGGAACGTTTACTAATAGCCGAATTAATACGGTCAAAAGAAGATTTAAATGTTAATGATACTTCTTGTAATGCTAAAATTAATAATTTAGTTCAGTGTAGGAGTCCTCTTTTGTCGAGAAAAGAAAATAAATTGAGCCTATCAGAAATTCAACACATGATAGGTCGGACATTTTATTTTTTTTGGAATCGTTAATGTTATTTTTCTTAAATAATTCGCCATTTTTTTTTCTTTTTTTCCCTCTTGTAGGTGATTCTGTAAATAGCGTCGTTAAATATTTTCACAGATTTGCAACTTCTCGACAGCGGGAAAATCGTGCTAAATTAACTCCTCTCCTTTGTGGTGAAATGGGTCTCGTTCATTCATTAGAACAAGCTTTTTTGTACGGATTCAAATCGAAAAGTTTCTTCGGTCGAAATTTATATTTATGGGATTATTTTCGTGAGATGAAATTTATTTTTGAGTAAAATTTATTATTTGTTATTCATGGTTTGCGAATTAATTTTTTTAAAATTTTTTAGTTCGAGTCAAAGAACAATTTGATATACTCTTACAAGAAAGTCGTTATAATAAACACGCGGATGCTGGATCTTCGCTGGATAGAAAATTAAAAAATATCAATTTGCGACACGATGATAATTCGGATATTGAAAATGAAAATAACACGGGGAGGCAGAGTAGAGAGAAAATGAGGAGACGACCCGATTTGGATCACATTCCGAGATCATCCGGATTGCAAACTTTTGCCCCGCATAAAAATGTCAGGAAAAATTCTCAGACGAGAACAAAGTACGACCATGATTCTTTTTTTTTTTTTTTTTTTTTTTCGATTTATGTAAATGAAATATATATTTTATTAAACGATGTTTACTAGCACGCAAAAAGACAATGCAACCGAATGTAATAAAATGACGAATTCGACGACGGATTCAAATAAATTGGTTATGGAAAAATTTAGGGAAATTGTATCGAAAATAGAAAATTGTCCGAGGCCGTTTGGAAAAGATGGAAAATTTCAAAGATTTATATGTTTTGGAGTGAGGTGAGTTCG